CAGCGGTGCCAGCTCGGGCCCCTGCGCCCGGCCCCCAGGCGTGCGGGGGAGAGGGGCCGCCCCGCCGCGGCCTGGGGGCAGGAGCGCCGGAGACGAGGGGTGAGGGGAGGTGCACAGGAACGTGTCGGGACTGCAGCTTCTGTCAGCATCGAAGCAATCGTGGATCCGCAGCACCCTCCTGTATCCGGGGTTGCTTTGCAGTGCCGCCCTTCTTTATTCTACTATAAACGTGTTTAAGGCTCTTCATGTTGTTTTACAGCTCTACTTTTTGTAATCCGTGATAACAATTCCACTATTCCTTGCGTTGTGTGGCAGTTTCATTTCTAACAATTAATTGCACCGCTGCCCTCAATGGGATCAGGAGCACAGGAGGCGTCAGAAGTAATGCGAGCATTACCTGCTTGTCTTATCTCGTTCCATTGTTTTGTTTCACAAAGCTTTGTACTGATATCTGTGTGATGTTTCAGATAGAGCTTATAATTGAGACACATGCATGTAATCCGTTCCAAGCAGAGATTGCTGCGTTACTCCCTCTCATGGCTCAGTTGAAGTTAGTGGCAAGATTCCCACTGATTTAAGTGAGATTTCACTCTAGAGTTCTGAAATGCTAGGAAACAGATAAATCATATCCATGACATGCCATAAATTTTATCTGGCACATCCTGGATCGTCCCAGGCTGAAGGCAAAGAGTAGGGCTGGAGCCTGGGGTTAAATGTAACGTGTCTCATGTAGTGCCACCCCTGAGTTTGACATCATTGTGTAACAAATGCAAAAGCTGACACACTTGGTGCTTGCTGTGAGAAAGAAAAGCCTCAGTTAGGCTGCAGGACTGCTGCCTCTCAGAATTCAGCACTGGACTTTGCTTTAACCTGTCCAGTGATCATGAGAGATAACGGGGCCAGCATCACTCCACCTACTTTGAGGGGACTGTATGGCATTTTGGGACTCTACAGACCCCTGCCCCTTTCTGCCTCTCTGCTGAACGTCTGGTGATTTCAACAGCATACGTGGGCTCTCAAAGATCTCTGAAGCTCCGAACGTGATGGTCTTTCAGCGGAAGGCAGGTTGTGATTCCAGATTTACTGACTTCACGGGGTTACTTGTCACGTAAGTCTCGCTCTCTTGCAGCTACACCTACATGACTGCTTCAGGGGTCAGCACTACTGTGCATTTGCTGCGCCTGGGTGTTGCCCTTGTAAACTCGAGTGGCAATGTGAAAGTGGCTGCTTCTCAGTGGGTGGCACCTCAGTAGCAACTGGGGTCATTCTTGGTCGGTTGTCAGCGCTGCCTCCAGCTTAATGTTGAAAGACGGGAAGCTGCACACGTAATATTTGCTTTTGCACAGGGCAGGCCTTGTTGAGCAAGCCATGAAGCTGCAATACGCACTGTTGAGATGAGATACATCCTGTGCGTGTTCTGATTAGGGAAGGGGTGAAGAAAGCAGAGCCTGCTGCAGTGACCAGGAAATGTGGAGCTACACAAACCCAGCCCTGAACACCAGAGAAACCTCCAGCCAGCAGAGATTGCCTGAGAGCACAGTGTCAAGGTGGCCTTCAGCTGGACACAGGTGCCAGCGCAGGTGGCATCTTTGTCTCCACCTTGAGAAAGGAGTTCTTAAGAGCTGGAGTGACAGGGCTGGAGGCCATCGGGGAGGCCTCGCTGCTCTCATGCGACTCTTCATGTGTGAGCATTAGGGAGGGAGCAGAGTAGTGCTCTGCACGCAGGGGCAACCCACCCCAGCTTCTGTCCTGCCAGAGGGGCACGTTTCACTGCACAAGCAGCAGGAATGGCAGAGGATAGCAGCCCCCCTAAACTAACTCAGGAAGGAGAGGCCATGCTGCACAGACCCCAGGGAGGGAACATGTTCCCAGAGCACGTGGGCTGTTTGCCATAACTCATATTCATTCACAGGCTGGGCTAGCTTTAATAGAAAATGAGGGGCAAGGAAAGGGTCAGTGTTCTGCTTATATCACTCAGCCCAAAGTGAGAAGAAAGTGCATGAGCATTTCTCCTCCCCTCGTGACCAGAAGGCTGTAGTCTGTAGCTGCTCCTAGAAGTGCCAGACCAAATCCAGGCCACCAGACCTCCCCTCGTGACCAGAAGGCTGTAGTCTGTAGCTGCTCCTAGAAGTGCCAGACCAAGTCCAGGGGCACCCAGAGCCAGGGTGCGTGTCCACCCCTCCCCAGGCAGAAAGAAGTTGGGCTGTTAGGCACATGCAAATGACCAGGTAGACCCCAGCCTGGAGATGGCCTCCCTTATTCAGAGGCATGAACTCACCTGCCCTTTTTCCCTCCTTTCCAGTGAGGCCTCCAGCTTGTCCCTGAAAGGCCACAGCAGGTGGCATGCAGAGGCACAGAGGAGCAAGGAGGGGAACCAGACGCAGACAGCTCAGACGGGGAAGGCCATAAGGCATGACCCCGCTGCCCACCAGGATGGGTGGGAAGGGCGTAGCCACAGCCAGCCCTGACTAACACCAGGGCAAGGACAGGTCTGGCCTTAATAGTATTCCTGCCCTGATGCACCCTATGCCTCAGGCAGCCAGCACCAGCCTGCAGGTTATAAGCCCAGCCTAAATGAGAGGATAGCAAACCCTTCAGGGTCACAGGGAAGCAGTGCAAAAGGTAACACAAGGACAGCTCCAGCAGTCAACTTAAATGCTTTTATTGACAATGTCTCTGAACAATAATAAGCAAACAATGCTTAAGTTTCATCCAAATTCACTTTCCACATGTCAAAAAAGACCTCAAGGTAGAAAAAAATAAAATAAAAATATAAATATCTGAGAATCCATCTTAATAAATAAATTAAAAACACAATAAAAACGTTTTCATGGAAAACTTATGTCAGAACATTCAGACCACCTCAACAATGCATGATCAGTAAAGTTACAATGAACATCAATGTAGAACTACAGTACATGGATATAGCTATTTATCTACCTACTAGAAAATAAAATAGAGTCTCTTTCCCCCCACGTAAGATGGGTCGTTGCTAAGTCATCAGAACACGATATTGCCAGGAACACAGTAGTTATTGTTAATCAGCTGCACTAGATACGAGTTGGAGATACCCAGCACCAGGTTAAATTCCAATCATTTAAAACCAAGAGATTAATTAGTTAATGCTAGTGATACTAAGGAGGGGAGGGAGTCACCTACCCAGCCATGTGGGACATGCTACAGACTACCAGCTCTCATGGATGGGCCATTGGGGATGAGACAAACTCCATGCGATTTGCTACATCTCTGGAAGAGGTACGAGGCCTCAGTACAGGGCGCTCTGCCAGGCCCCAGGGCACCAGGCCAGATGGGGGGGGTGGCGGTGGCGGGGCCCTCCCCAGGCCCGGGGAGCCCCATGGGGCGCAGCGGCAAGTCCGTGGGGGTGCACGGGCAGGGGAGGGGGCCCGGCAGGTCAGTCAATGCTGGAGCCCCTCACAAGGCCAGGAGGGTGGGGGAGCTGAGGGAGTCAGACGAGGGCTCATTGCTGCTGCTGCCCTTCCGGTGCGCGGCAGCACAGCTGGGGAAGGCGTCCGCCTCAGGGTAGGTGAAGACGAAGGTGGAGGTGTAGGTGCTGGGGCACGGGGTGCAGGTCACCACAGGGGTGCAGAGGGGCTCCAGCTCACCGCTGGTCCCGGCGCCCAGCGACTCCCAGTCCGACGCATAGAAGGAGGAGGCCCCGGGCAGGTCCATGTCGGGCACGGAGCGGGAGGCCTCCTGCGGCCCCGTGGAGAAAAGCAGCTCGTCGAAGGGCTCAGCCTTGAGCTCCAGCCCGCCACCGCCGGTCTCCTTGGGCGGCACGGCCGGCGGCGCCTCAGCCATCAGCGGCAGGGCGAAGGCAGCCTCCTCGGCGACGGGGGGGCTGGGGGTGCCCAGGTCCAGCGCAGTGGCGGCCGCCAG